GCCCAACCTTCCTTCCGAGGAGTGGCTGGTGGGTTTGAACCGCCAGCCGTCTGGTTAGCAGGCAAGTGTCTTAGCCACTATGCTACCAGAGCTCCCAACAACAGCTGTATTAGGTGATGTATTAAGACTTAAATTCTGAAGCCCTTGGACTGTGCAAGTCTGCAGTCCACAGTGGAAGCCCTAACTCCGTTTTGAGCCTTGACATAAAAGTTCAGAGACCATTTGAGTTCTTTCTGAACTTTAAACCAACCTAGTGGCTGTGCATAGACAGGTTCTAGGGCACACCTACAAGCTCTAGTGCCTAGTGCCTAGAGCTTGACATGTGACTGCTCACCAGAAGGCTGGCGGTTCAAACCCACCAGCCACTCCTCGGAAGGAAGGCTGGGCAATCTACTTCTGTAGTGATACTGCCTCAGAAACCCAAGGAGGGGTCCCTATGACTCAGATCTGACTCCACAGCAGTGAGTTTGGTTTTGGTTTGGTAGGGCACACCTAGGGCAGGGGGGTTTGTCTTCAAGAAGAGTGAGGTTGAAAGCAGATTATGCTCACAGAAAGGACTAGGGAACTTGCCTGAGTGTATCTAATTTAGGTTAAGGGTGGAGTCCTGGCATTATCTTCTAGGCACCTTGTGGCTATGATTCAGGCTGCATGGTCAGGAGTCATATCCGGCTCACCCATAGCCAGATGGTCAAGCCCCAGAACCAATCCTGTTAGGTGCCATGGAGTCGGCTCCAACTCATGTACACCAAAACAAACGTTCTATGTACACCAGAACGAAACAATGTCTGATCGTGCACCAGGTCATGTGCTATCCTCACAATCATTGCTATACCTGAGCCCATCATTGCAGCCACTATGTCAGTCCATCTTGTTGAGGGCCTTCCCCTTTTTTGCTGAATCTCTACAAAGCATGATACTTTACAGTCCCTGGAGAAGGCAGTGGTTCCTTCTGACAACATGACTAAAGTAGGTGAGATGAAGTCTGGCCACTCTTGGTTCCAAGGAGCATTCTGGCTGCACTTCTACCAGGACAGATTTCTTCATTCTTCTGACACTCCATGGTATTTCAGTATTCTTCGCCAACACCACAATTCAAAGGCATCAATTTTTCTTCAGTCTTCCTTATTCACTGTCCAATTTTCACATGCATATGAGGCAATTGAAAATATCAGGGCTTGAGTTAGGCCCACCTTAGTCTCTAAAGTGACATCTTTGCTTCTTACCATCTTAAAGAGGTCTTTGGCAGCAGATCTGCCCACTGCAATGATATCTGATTTCTTGACTGCTGCTTCTGTGGGTGTTGATTGTGGATACAAGTAAAATGAAATCACTAACAACTTCAATCTCTTCTTGATTTATTGTAATGCTGCTTACAGGTCCACATGTGAGGATTTTGGTTTTCTTTATGTTGAAGTGTAAATGAGTCTTTGATCTTCATCAATAAGCACTTCAAGTCATCTTCACTTTCAGGAAGTAAGGTTGTGTCATCTGCATATCACAAATTGTTAATGAGTCTTCCTCCAACCCTGATGCTGGATTATATTAAGATTGTATTAAGAAGATTATATAACCAGAAGGCTTCTTAATATAATCCAGCTTCTTAATACAATCCAGCTTCTTGCATCAAATAACTACGGTGAGAGGATACAACCTTGATACACACCCTTCTTGATTTTAAACAATGCAGTATCCCCTTGTTCTGTTTGAATGACTGTCTCTTGGTTTATGGAAAGATTCCTCATGAGCACAATTAAGTGTTCCAGAATTCCCATTCTTCTCAATGTTACCTGTAATTTGCTATGATCCACACAACTGAATGGCATTGCCAATGAAACACCAGTAAACATCTTCCTTGTATTCTTTGCTCGCAGCCACGATCCATCTGATATCAGGAGCGGTATCCCTTGTTCCACGTCCTCTTCTGAATCCAGCTTGAATTTCTGGCAGTTCCTTGTCAATATACTTCTGCAACCATTTTTGAATTATCTTCAGCAAAATTTTACTTGTGTGTGATATTAATGTTATGGTTCAATAATTTCCCTATTCTTTTGGATCACATTTCTTTGAAACGGACACAAATATTGATCTCTTCCAGTAGCTATCTCCCAAATTTCCTGGCCTAAGTGAATAATCACCTCCAGCACTGTGTTGTTTGTTGAAACATCTCGATGGGTATTCCGTCAGTTCCTGGTTCCTTCTTTTTTTGTCAGTTTCTTCAGTGCAGCTTGGACTTCTTCCTTCAGTATCATTGTTATTTGATCATATGCCAGCTCCTGAAATGGTTGAACATCGGCCAGTTCTTTTTGTTACAGGGACTCTCTGTATTCCTTCCATTTTCTTTTGATGCTTTCTGCAATATTTTGCCCACACAATCCTTCAATACTGCAACTCGAGGCTTGAATATTTTCTTCAGTTCTTTCAGCTTGAGAAATGCTGAGTGTGTTCTTCCCTTTTAGTTTTTCAATTCAAGGTCTTTGGACATTTCATTAAATACTTTATTTGGTCTGTTTGAGCTGCCTTTTGAAATCTTCTGTTCAGCTCTTTGATTTCATCATTTCTTCCATTAGCTGTAGCTACTTTCCATCGAACAGCAAGTTTCAGAGTCCCTTCTGACATCTATTGTGGTCTTTTCTTCGTTTCCTGTCTTTCCAATGACTTTGCTTTCTTCATGGATGATGTTTTTGATGTCATCCCATAACCTGTGTGATTTTCAGTCATTGGTGTTCAAGGTGTCAGATCTATTCTTCAGATGATCTCTAAATTCAGGAGGGATATAGTCAATATCATATTTTGACTCTCATGGGCTTGTTTTAATTTTTTTCAGCTTCAACTTAAACTTGCACATGAGTAATTGATGCTCTGTTGCAGACTCAGCTCCTGGCCTTGTTTTGACTGAAGATATCACCTCTTTCCACAGATGCAGTCAATCTAATTCCATCTGGTGAGGTCCATATGTATCTTGCCATTTATGTTGTTGAAAAAAGGAATTTGCAATGAGTAAGTCATCAGTCCTCCCAAATTCTATCATGCAATCTCTGGCGTCATTTCTATCACCAAGGCCATATTTTGCAACTACTGATGATTTCTTGTTTCCAACTTTCCCATTCCAATCACCAGTAATAATCAATACATCTTGATTGCATGTTTGGTCAATTCAGACTTCAAAAATTGGTTAAAAAAACCCAAACTTCAGTGTCTTAATCTTCAGCGTCTTCATCTTCAGCTTTACTGGTTGGTGCATAAATTAGAACTAAAGTGGTATTAACCAATCCTGTAACTTTTTAAAATCTTAAATTATGTATGTATCCCAATCATGGCCTTTCCCTGCTTCTGCAGACCCTCCTGCAACAGTGATGAATTGATCTGCCACCAATCATAATTTTGTCATGATTTCCTTTGTTTCCAATCATACATAACCAGCCCCATAGTGATCCCTCAGTGGACTGCATTCAGGTTTCTACACTGTGTACACGCTGATGGTTTCCCTCATCCTGGATGATTGCCTTTCTTTTGTCTTGTCTTTCTAAGGTTTAACGAAAGTGTCTTTATGTAACCTGTTTGGATCTGGGTCTTTTTCCCCCTAGCACAGTGATGAGGCTTACTGAAACACCTGGAAATTACTCTTGCAGAAACAATGGAAGTGTAATGAACATATCCTGTTTCTAAGACTCCAGAGGTCTTAGAATCATGGCTCACTGATAGAGTGACTGTCTTCACAAGGTTTCTATTTTTCCATTTATAATGTTGGGGCACATACTGCTACCATAAGATTTATGTATTCTGACATACTCACCAACCAATCACAAATTTTTTAGTTAAAGTTCCTGATGAAATTAGATATATAACCCAGCAAATCTAAATGACAATGATTTACTCAGTAATGTTATGCTGCCCAACTTTAAAATTAACCATTAAACCTCCAATTAAAAAAAAAAAAAAAACATTGCCATTGAGTCAATTCCTACTCATCTGCTCCATAGTGTTTCCAAGGCTGTAAATCTTTACAGAAGCAGGCTGCCACATCTTCTCCTGCGGAGCAGCTTATGGGTTTGAACTGGCAACCTTCTCGTTAGCAGCCAGCGCTTTTACCACTGCTCCACCAGGGCTCCAATAGCAATCTGTTAATGGTGTTCTGAGATGTGATTTTTGATGGTAGTTTTAAAGGGTGTAAAGATGGGTTGCAGTTGGGAGTCGAAGGCTTAAAGGCAGCCCCACTGCCAGCAGGCTCCAAGATCTGCATAACCATCATGATCTCAAGGCTTCCTCATAATCCAAGGTTCTAGGGTTTAAGGCAACATGAGGTTGAGGAAAGAGAATAAGGTGAAGCAGATGTCCCGGCTGTTGAATTGGTGCCTTTTAAGGAGTTTTTGCCGAAATGTCGTATGACACTGCTGCTTCTATCATCAACCAGGACTAAGCCAGGATTACTGCAAGGGGCACAGGGGAAAATGTTTAGCCAGACGCATTTCCACCCTGGTATGAGGAAGGGGAAGGAGGATAGGAGGAGGGCAACTAGCAGTCCGTGTGACACCGTTGTGGTGTCAACCTCAAAGACAAGAAGTCAATTGCTGATGTCTGTAAACCAGAAGATAGAACAAGTATTAGAATGCAGGTCACCAGATCTGGAAAGCCCAGTATCTGTGTGCTCCGGTACACATCTTTGAGTACAAGAGACCACGAATGAAAACCGCAGCCTGTAATCCCTTGCTGTAAAGGGACAGTGCACATTGTAAGTGCAGTGAGAGTAGAGACCATATCACTCATCTGTTGGTGTATCTGGTCTAGCACATGACCCAAACCACTGTTGTGTGTTGATACTGGTTGAATGGAAGGTCAAGAAAGGAAAGAACAGGATGGAAAATGCACCTGATGAACTCCTGGCATGCTTAGAAGTTAAAGATGATTGCAGGACTACAGCAGAGTAAATCTAAAGATGCCTTCAGAACACCAAAGTCCAAAAGTAGGAAATGCTACTATTTTGGAGTGAAAGAGTCACTGATTCAGCAAACATCTATTCCATGCCTTTCCTGTGTCAGGCATTGTGGAAGGTGCTTGGGATGGCAAAGACAGAGTCCCTACCCCTAAGGGTCACAGTCTAGGGTTGGGGAAAACAGAATTTAGCTCACCAGGCAGTAGTGATCATTTCCTTGGGTTCCTTTTCCCGCATATTCCATACTCTACAGCTGCCATAAGTTGTGGTCTCTTCTCTTGTATCATTTTATTATTTCAATAATACTGTTTTTGGTGAAAGTTAACACAGCAAATAAAGTTCTCATTTGACAATTTCTCCATAGATTGTTCAGTGACATCAGTTAACACTCCTTGGCCAGAAAGCTCTCCTTGCTAACTTTTCAGTCAAGTCATTCCAGTTAAGATTTCCTTGGAGTGGCCCTCCCTGAGCTCCTACCCCACAGAGCACAATTCCATCCCTAGCCTTGGTCTTTCATGTAACCAGAAATACTAGCCCAACAGGGCCAGGCACATAGGGAACCTCAACAACGTTATTCATTGCTGTGGAATCAGATTTATATTTAAAATAGATTTTCTACTTTCATTTCAAGAGGGTTTTTCTTATCCATGAATATAAAAATTTCTGCCCCAAAATTAATAATGTTTTTTTTTTTTTTGTTATTCTCTTCCCCCAAAATGGCTGTTCAAAAGATGAGACCAGAACAAACCCATTAACCTATGATGAAGTGAGATTCAGGTTTCTTTGAGTTTCTGGAGGTCTGGTGAGGGCAGGTGGATGGAGGGGTGAATCTTCAGTCAAGTTACCTTTTTAATGTTAAACCAAATAAACCCAAACCTACTGCCACAAAGTAGATTCCCACTCATAGCGACCTCCACTGGATTTCCATGGCAGTAAATCTTTAGGAAAGGAGATTCCCCCATCTTCCTGCCGCGGGGCAGCTGATGGATTTCAACCGCCAACCTTCTGGTTGTTGTTGTTGTTGTTATGTGCCATCAAGTCGGCCCGACTCATAGCGACCCCTCCTTGGGTTTCCGAGGCAGTATCACTACAGAAGTAGGATTGCCCAACCTTCCTTCCGAGGAGTGGCTGGTGGGTTTGAACCGCCAGCCTTCTGGTTAGCAGTCAAGTGCTTTAGTAGGCATTAAATACTACATCACCATGAAGGCCTGTATTCTCTCAAACCTACTGAAAGCCTTTCCTTTTCAAGTATAGTACAATAAGAGAATCCAAGTGGTCTCTGAGCTGGGATGGAGGAGTAGGTCGGTCACCAAAGACCCTATTTCCCTGAGTCTAAATGGGCGTTTTTTGGGTGTTCTAGCTGTCACGTGACGAGCCCTGTCACGTGATCTGTGCACTGCGCGGCCCACACGCATGCTCAGTGCGTCTCTTCCCTGCCCTGGCGGACATGGCAGCTCCGCTGGGAGGCATGTTTTCTGGGCAGGCCCCGGGGCCCCCGCAGCCCCCTTCGGGACTCCCAGGCCAGGCTTCACTTCTTCAAGCGGCGCCAGGGGCTCCGAGATCCTCTAACACTACTTTGGTGGACGAGCTAGAGTCTTCTTTCGAGGTAAGATGGGTCATGAAGTCTGTCCCCGCCCTCCTCCCGACACATGAGTTGCGCGCTCGCAGGTTCCTGTTCCAGCGTCTCAGTTCCAGCTGTTAAAATGGGGAAACTGAGGCCCAGAGAGGGTAAGTCACTGGGTTTAGGTCCCACAGTACGTGGTTGCCGCCAGTTCTACTCGTGGTGACAACGTGAATTTGAAGTTTGCCTACCGCCCACGTTCCCCGCCTTGGGATCCTTCCGCGGCTCTGGCCTGCGCTTCCGGTCCTATCCGGTTCCCAGTCCCACTTCCGAGCACCCGTTGCCGGGTCCCTGCGTGTGGCGCACGGGCACGTCTTTCGAGCGCGGACTTACGGAATGTAAAAGGCTGCCACATCCTGTGCCTTTTCGGTGGGCTTCCCTTAAGGTCCTTAGGTCATAGAACTGTGGAACTCCCAGGGACTTATTTAAAAGTTGGTGGAGGGGAGCGGGCCCAGGAAGGAGTTAGGCCGGAGCTTAGAGAGGGAGGGAGGCAGGCAGACACGACCCAAACTGTGAGTTCTGCGGGGAACTTTACCACGGTCCAGAGAGGGGAGTGGTCGCCCCAGGAGAGGGAAAGGTGAGTGCTTTGGCGGTTTCCGTGTCTCTAAAGTGGAAGGTGAGCCATTAGTGTGGGAAATGAAGTACCTTGGAGCCATTTTTTCAACATCTTAATGCTATTTATGTGAGTTTTATGCAGTGTATACTTTTTCAATTTAAAAGTACAGGACCACATGGGTATAGTTTGTAAGTATATTAGTGGCACTGCGTGGGCCAAATGGTTCTACTGATGTTCAGTCAAAAGTCTGGAGGGAACTGATTGAAAAGACACAGAAGTCTGTTCTGTCTGGAAGGAGGAGGAGAGCCGTAAGTAGATGATAGCTTTAGAGCCTCCCACCCGTCTGTCGCTTTGTCTACCATGGTGATTGCGTGTTGCTGTGATGTTGTAAGCTATGGCACCAGTGTTTCAAATACCAGCAGGGTCGTCACCCATAGGGAACAGGTTTCTACAGAACTTCCAGACGAAGAGACTAGGAAGAAAGGCCTGGCAGTCTACTCCCGAAATCAGCCCGTGAAAACTCACAACGGAAATGAAATCACAGCAGCATATTGTTTGACACCGAGCTGGAAGATGAGCTCCTGGGTCGGAGGACACTCAGAATACACGGTGGCTGCAGCGCTGGGCTCCCGCGTGCCAACCATAGGAGAACGGAGCGCCAGGGCACGGTCTTGTGGAGCCTGTGGCAACTCCAGCAAGCTCTGGAGCGGCAGCCAGTGTTGCTCTTGAGAGGAAGTGGCTCCCAGTCATGAGTTCTTGCTGAAAAACTGGCCTGGGACATGGAGGTCTTGGCCAAATCTGACCCTGTCACTCAGCTGCTTACAAGCTCTCAGTGACCAACTTTCTCTTAGGAGAAAACCAAAAGCTTGACTGTGCTTTTCCATGCTCTGCAGGTTCACACTTGAGACACTTGAGACCTTCCCTGCATGTGTCGTTTGTTTGCTTTTTCTTTGGGCCCCCACCCCCTTCATCCCCTGGCTCCTGTGCCACTTCCTTGAGACTCCTTCCTGCTCCCTTTGCAGCACTTACACTAAACCAGGCTCCATAAAGGCAGAGCTCACCTGTACTGCTAATACGGTGGTGGTGGAGGTGTGCGAGGGCTGTCTGAGTCAGTGCCAACTCATAGTGACCCCATGTGACAGAGTCGAACAGCCCCATCCGGTTCCCTCGGCTGTAGTCTTTGTGGTTGCAGATTGCCGGGTCTTTCAATCCCATGGAGCCGCTGTGGGTGTGAACACTGCTGACCTTTCACTTAGCAGCTGGGCGCAACCATTGTACCACCAGGTCTGCTTAATACAGTGGTGGTGATGTTGTGTGCCATTGAGTTGATTGTGGCTCATAGTGTGTCTATAGGACAGAGTAGAAGTGCCCCACAGGGTTCCTAGGCTTGTGGGTTCGAGCCACAGACCTTTTGGTTAGTAGCCAAGCACTTAACCATTGTGCCAACAAAAAAAATATAATCCAAACCCATTGTCACTGAGTCAGTTCTGACTCATAGTGATCGTATGGGACAGAGTAAAACTGCCTCATGGTTTCAGGGCAGCTAGTGGGTTTGAAACACTGACCTTCAGTTCACAGCTGAGCGCTAACCGTTCCACTACCAGGACTTTCTATTTTTCCTGTACGTTCTGTATTGTAAATTAGGAAATGTCCTTAGTGTAAACATGGCCTTGACCGGAGGGCTCCCTTCAGTATGCTTTCCTTGTCTCTGGGATCTTGGCCCCTCAAGTGTTGACTGCCTTAGTTGTTCCCCACTGTCTTCAAACAGTTGGTTTATGGGGTGTGTGTGTGTGTGTGTGTGTTATTTTTCCAGCTTTCATATGTTCTTAGCAGGAGGCTTAGTCTGGTATTAGCTACTCCATCATAGCTGTGAAAGTAAACTTGCTATGCACATTTTAAAAAATTATTAGTAGTGCATTTCAATAATCTCCTCCTTCCCGAATTTAATTGCCTTTACATTCAAGGACTGTATCTATACTCTGTAAGCAGCAGGAGAGAAATACTGCCACAGTGGGAGCAGATCACAAGCGTTTGATGAGTGCATGTCCGTGAGAACACCCGGAGTGGAGATCCTACCTTCAGGGCACTCATCACAGTGGGGTGGTGGAAAGGCACCGGGGGCGGGTGACGCTGTGCTGCGGGTCAGCGCTCTGAGGGAAGCAGCCCAGGGCCGTGGGCACACTGCAGGCAAGGCTGTGAAGAAGGCTTTCCGGAGGGCCTGAAACCCGGAGGGGCGTTAGGACCCAGCCGGGCAAGGGCGTGGCAGAGCGCTACCCTATGCTGCTGCGTGATTCTCTGCCTAGTCTTAAGACTCAGCTCTGAGGCC